ATGGGTGGGACACACTGGGGAAGAGTTCGATCACCCAGGGTGAAGCAAGATGACTCTGGGGAGGTGAGAGGGGTGAGCACAGCTGTGTGTTTAGAACACAGTCTTGAAGGTCTGGGTGTGGCTGGGAGAGTGCATGGTGACATTGCTGGTATGAGGGTTGCCATTTAATAAATGGTGACTTGGAGATGCAGGAGATGGACTTTTTGGGGCCTTTGGACATTCATATTGAGCAGGTGATACATCCAGAACCTGAGGACAGAAACCTGGACAAGGCACAAACTGAAACACTATCCACGTCATTGAGGACTGAGTAGCTCAGAGGAGAGGACTTGTGGCTATACCTGGAAGATTTCAGGAGGTGAAGGGAAGCCCATGAAGGAGGTGTGTGGAGCACACTCCCCAGTGATAGGTCCTAGAAGCCGAGGTACACAGCCCAGCAGGGAAGGCACAGTGTTCGTGGAATCTTCCAGACTACAGCATTCCCTGCCTCCCTGCTGGTGAGAATAGACACTTCTATGTGGGAAGCAGGTGACCCAGGCATACACCTGCCAGCTAGAAGGAGCCTGCTCTCTGATGCGAGAGTGGGCTCTGAATGGTGCCTCCTCTGCCTGCCCAGTAAATGCAGTCCACCGTGTCTAGATACTGGAAGTGTGGCATATTAGATGGGCTGGTGCAGCCCCAGGCCCAGACACCAGCTCTCCTCATCCTCTGTTACCTCTGCCCACAGTCTTCAGCCTAAGCTGAATTCCCATCTTGATTTTTAGAGCTGAACCCTTAGCCTGTGAAGCCAGTGGCAACATCAATGCAATTAGGTATTTCCACAAATGGAAGTCTTTCCTAGGGCCATTTTCTGCCTTTGTAAGTCAAGGTCTCAAAGGCTTCATCCTAAGTATAGCCAACTGTGGGTAGGAGGCATAGACAGCAAGGCCTGGCAGGGTTTGCACTGTGCTTGAGGAGGAGCTGCTGCTAAGATGACCCTGAGTGTCGGGTAGGTGAGGGCCAACAGGGCACAGGAGGTGGGGCATTTCTAAAGTAAGAGCTTAGATGCTTTGACACTCATGTACCCTCTCTGAATTCTGTGTTCTCCCCTCTGGACCTCAGACCTCTACAGCACTGTCAGTGGGTCTGCACAGGGAATGAGAGGAGGGGCAACATCTCTGTCAGATGTGTGACTTGTCCCCTGCTGACTGATAGGCAGGCTGATGTGACAATGACTATAGCTCAGCTGGACTACTTAGGTACCCAGAGGTTTGTCCCTTTTGATACAAATGGAGGCCACAGTGTTAGGTACCACTGTAGTGACCTCTGAGCCTGCCAGATGAGCCAATGGCAGCATGCCCTGAAGATGTACCAGTAGAGCAGGGAGGCTGTGGAGACCCGGCACCACTACACTGTTGCGTATAGACATGTATAGTAGTGCTATAGTACTCCTTTAGAACAGCCTACTGACACCTCAGAAAACCCTGCAACCTCCTCTGCTCCTGATGCCATAAGGGAGGGAATCAAGCTGGGGGGCTAGATGCAGTCCCACCTGCCGGGCTGTGAGTCCTGTGCATGGTGCCATCCCTGCTGCAGCGGTTCATCCCATCCTGCAGGCCTATAATGGTGACAGAGCCCCTGTCCCAGGCCAGTGAATCTGTGCCTGGGTTCCCAGGCTTGTGCCTTTGCAGACTAACTGCAGCCATAGTGCTCCCCCCGCCACACACACACAATAACAGTTAAGGGCACTGATATATTTGCCAGTGTCTTTGGGCACACAGGAAGGTCCTTGCTTTGTCTGCTCTGTTAAGAGCTGTGGAATGTGAGACATTCACTTGGCTGCCAGCATATTGCTAACTTTGGTGTTTCTTTGTTTGTTTGTTTGTTTGTTTTTGCTGCTGCTGGTGGTCTGGTTCGGTTGTTTTTTCCAGTGCTGGAAATGGGCATTGTACACTTGAGGCAGGTGTTCTGTCCTTAGGCTACATCACTGAATGCATCGGTGGATCAGGTGAGGTACTGATCCATTTCTGTCCCTGTTTATAACCAGAGCCCCTGCTCTGGGAGTTTGAAGATGTGAGCCCTGGCCACTCACTTCAAAGGAGGAAGAAGAAAGTGATGAGTAAAAGGCAAAAGGCGGGGCAGGATTTTAACCACAGTTAGCATTGGCAGTTGCTGGGGTACCACTGTGAATTCCAGGGATTCTACAAGACAAAGGCAGAGGTTAAGCTTGGCACAGGGAAATCCTACTTGGTAAGCAGTCCTGGGTAAGGTGTGGCCTGGATGATCACTACTGAATTCTGGTTCTGTAGCGGTGCCCCAAGGAAGTCTAATTCCCATGAGATAATTGATCTGGCTTTAGATCCCATTGTGTCTTCAAAGGTGAACTGTTCCTGAGATCTAAGGTGGCTATAGGTTTAGGACAGTGGCTGAAGACTTTGAGACACTTTCTTGGAGATCTGAAATAGAATGTAAAAGCAGACTCTAATCTCTGTACCCTTGGCCTAGACGAGGGTAGGCTAAGTTAGCTGTCCCTGGTTCGCAGACACTCCCTGTTTGCCTCTTGTGGCTTAGCAGGTGCAGAATGAAGGCAGAGCTGCCTTCAAAGAGCAGCTGGTGCCTAGTAGGGTGACACATGTACTGTGAATGCAGAGGCAGGTGGATCTGTGAGTTTGGAGCTAGCCTGATCTACATTGTGAGTTCAGACTAGACAAGGCTACAGAGTGAGTGAGACCTTATCTCAAAAAAACTAGTTTGTAAGAGCCTGATTGTCTGCTCTGTGGTCTCTGGTATTCCCTGTATGGCCTGAGGAAGAGTAATATCCAGTGATTCCACAAGACAAAGGGCAGAGGTCAGTGTAGTCCCACGAAAGCAAGGCCTCAGAATCATCTTGGACATCTCATAGCAATCTGCCCTCACTGTCCACAAGAGAGAGGTGGGCCTCTTGCCCCTGCACCGTTCTGTCTAGATATGGCATTTGTCATCCAACCATAATGTCTAAAGGATACCTGTAGGAGGCAGGACTCCTGCAATCATGAGAACAGAATTGTGTTGGAAGTTTACAGTGGCCCGTGTCACAGTGCCCACTGGTTGGTTCCCCTGCCCTTAAGTGCACTGTCTTCTCTGCTTGATATCCTTCCATGACTCCTGAGAGTCCTCTACCTTCCCTTCCAAAACCATGCCATCGGGGACAACATTGGTGTCTAGGAAGTCAGTTGTAATTGGTGTCCCTCTTCTGGACCTCTGGTACTTCTGATGGATCTCCCACAGGTTGTTTACTCTTGGGCTATGTACAGTAACTGCCAGAGCCCCCTCATGGAAGAAACAATTTAGGGAGCCCATTTGGTTTCAACTCAGAAGAATCCTATTGTGGTCAGGGTCAAAACACAGCAGGGCAGAGTGCCCTGGTAAGGCAGGAGAACATCTTCCTGGCTCTCAAGCACGGCAGCGATGACCCTTACCTCTACGTTTACCTAAATGCCATCCCCACCTCTGTGAAGCAGCATAGAGAAGCTCAACGATGTATCACGGGCATGAGAAGCAGAAGGCAGCATGGTCATATTTTCCATTGTAGAATTAACAAGCAAAGCAGTAAGTCACACACCACACACACACACACACACACACGCGCGCACACACACACACACACACACACACACTATACAGTAGGTAGCTCAAGAAAGGTATGTCCAGAACAAAAGGGGATTGTTCCCTGGAGGCTAGGGCTGGGGGGACACACACATGCCACTTACCTCTGCTTTTCCGTTTAAATTTGCTCCACTTTTTGTGTTACCCATTCCAGGAAGTAATAAGATTTCACATTTAAGAAGTCTTGAGGGGCTGGAGAGATGGCTCAGCGGTTAAGAGCACTGACTGCTCTTTCAGAGGTCCTGAGTTCAAATCCCAGCAACCACATGGTGGCTCACAACCATCCGCAATGAGATTCGATGCCCTCTTCTGATGTGTCTGAAGACAGCTACAGTGTACTCATAAATAAAATAAATAAATCTTTAAAAAAAAAAAAGAAGTCTTGAGGCTGAAATGCTGAGCTAGTGAAGACAGAGGAAGCAATCTCTCTGGCCACATCTCCTTTGCCCTCCAAGGAAAGTGCAGAGGTCTTTTTTATGGGCCACCTTCTTCTGTCTGAACATTCTTTTTCTAATAGCCTTATTCTGGGAGGAAGCCTGGGAAGGAGGCTCAAGTCCTCACTACATTTAACCGGAAATGAGCCCTGAGGTGAACGGTGCAGACACGGAGTGTGGTGGCCTTGCCTTGCTCTAAGAGTTTCCTCTGCTGAGCTCTGGTTTTCAGGTGAAGGCTGCCAAGCTCTTGGCTTCCAGCCACAGTGAGCTTTGTTACTGGGTGAGGCCTCCCTCATCTGGAGTGAAGAGAGGATCTACCGTACAGCTGCTAGGAAGATCCTGTGTAGCACTCGGTGCTGCAGCACGACTTATATGTCTCCTCTAGAGACAGGCCAAAATCGCATCACAAGGTTCAGACAGTTTGCCAGCCCACCAAAAACCCACCTTACCCTCAGTGATGAATGGATTTGTTCTTGTGTTGATTGGTTCATCTGCTTCCTGGTTCCCACCCTGGACTTTCCAGCAAGCTTTAAATGAGTCTTGCAGCTTGAGTTGAGTACTATTTGAAGTCTGGTGACTCTGGAGCACACCTAGGCTGAGAATCGCTTTTGTGAGCCTAGAAGAGACCCCAAGTGTCCTCAGCATCCTCCTGTAGTCTTGTAAGTCTGTTCTCATCTCCCACCTGACAGGGCTTCCCAGGTCTGAGTGAAACAGCTTAGGGCAGTAACAAGGTCTCTTCCCTCACCAGCAACTGAATAGCACATGGGCTTTGGGACTGCCCTCTTCCCAGCTGGGTGATGGAGACGTGCTGCCAGGTTCTGCCCTGCAGGCAGCACCTGTGAGGCCTGCCAGCCTCTCTGGAGAGCAAGCTGGAGGCGAGACTTGGTCGAGGTGGTTTGCATTTAAGCTGTGACTTCATCCAGATCTCCTCCTGTCTTACAGGGACATCACCCCACCCGGAGAACCGCTAAACAAGAGCAGCAGAGCCAAAGTAGTTTCCCGCTTCCCTAAACTGTCCCGAGGCCACCCCAGGGAGGTGCGCAACGTGGAGCCTCAAAGCGGTGACCTCTGACCTCGGTGGACTCTCAGCCCCCGGCCACTTTGTGCTCAACCTTGCCATGGCAGCTGGCCCTGGACACCTTGGCAGGATGACCATGTCCCCACAGAGAACACCCTTCCTGCTGCCACATATGCCACCCAATTAAACTGGTCAGTTTTAGCTGCTGTGTCTCTGTCCTTAGAGCAAGGCATTGCTCACTGGACAGACACAGATGGGGACACTGTCACTATCCTCAGGGTGGCCAGGGATGGTTGTCACCTCCTCCAGTTCTGCCAACAGGACAGTGGGTACCAGGCTGGGTGCAGCCCAGGTGGGCTGTGCACATGTGAGATGCCCGACGCATGGCAGAAGGATCCTTCAGATGCCACCCGTGACGCTTTCCCACATGGGAACTAGATTGACTGTTACACTCTTAAATTCCCTGATGCAACTTCCTCCTGCCGCCGTTGGATGGGGTCTCCTTCCCTGTCTCCCTCTATGGTGGTTAGATACCCAGCAGCACTGCCATGCGGCAGTATGGATTTGATTTCTCCATCTAGTGGCCTAGCAAAGACATTGGCAGTGACTTTGGTCCTGGAGGAACTTCTCCTTCCCTCCTCATGCGGGCTCCAGGAAGCACCATCCATCTAGGAAACCTGAGGCTGCCCCAGCAAGCACCGCTAGTTGACCTGAGGAGTCCACCCTCAGCACAGCCCTGAGCAGCAGTCTAAAATCTCTGGCCCAGAAATCGGTGTTTGTGACCTCATGGCACTAGAGATTTGGCTCTGGGCATGGCTGTGGAAGGCTGGCCCTGTAGGCTCTCAGACCCAATGCCATAACTGAAAAGAGAATGATTGTTCCCTGAACATATTTAGCACCAACTGTCCCCTAACATCTCAGTGGGAGCAGAATGCTGTGTCCCCACAAGATATAGTTCTGTTGCTCTCGTCTCAGGGTCCCGTCCTAGAGTCCAGAGCTTGCAGGCATGGAGGGGAATAAGATCCAGCTGCTTTGCGGCTCTGCCTTCCTCTGTCATTAGCCTGGGTCCCCCTGATTCTCAGAACCCACTGTTAGAGATGCTCTGTCTCCCTAGGGAAGAACCTCCTTGCTGTCTTCATATAGTATGGAGGAGCTTGCCGAAGGGATCACATACCAGGGTGCACTTCTCTGCCTGCCAAGGAAGGTGTTCATGGTGGCATCTACCAGGCGTGACTACTTAGGTGGTGGTAGGAGGCAGCCTGACCATGAACTTGAAGGGCTGAAGCTCAAAATTAGACCTTGGGAAGTGGTTTGGGGAAGCAGAGTTTTTCTGGCACCTTGGAAAGCTTGGGGGGAGTCCCCTAGAAGCCAGAGGGGACTTCAGAGTGCAGGGAGAGGCCTGAACAGCTCCAGTTCTGGAGGGCACCTTGGGACCGACAAGTGGGCTGTGCACAGGTGAGGCAGGGCATGCCGGCCCTCCCTCCTGGCTAGGGGCAGGAGCTGGGTGAGCGGGAACCCGCTTTAGCTTGCTGGGAAGGGAGGGTCCAAGAGGCTTCTCAGCCCTAGAAAGCCAACATGGGTCCTCTCTTGTCTGCCTAAGATTCGTCAGGCTCCACACAAACACCACACCCAGAGTATGGGGTCGGCATGCAGTTTGCAGTTAGGCAAACTGACGCATGCTACAGGGCGCTGTGAGGTGCTGGCAGCCCCAAGTCCACCTCTGAGCTGGGGGACTTGGCATGGGGAGGCTTTGTATTCTATCATGTTGTGTTAGACAGGACCCCGTCACACCTCCCACACCTCCCACACCTCCCACAGCTGAGTCCTGAGCACCAGGGCTTTGGGGCACCTGGCCTAAGCACGTGTCACTAAGAGTCTGGGTCCTCTCACTGCAAACAAAGCACACAACCATCTTTCACATTCAGCACTGGCAGAGGAAGGAAGGAAGGAAGGAAGGAAGGAAGGAAGGAAGGAAGGAAGGAAGGAAGG